ATTCCAAATTCTTTTTTGTCTTGTTTGTATCTGCTTTGAATCTGGAGGTAAACCCATTGATCAATTTTATGTCCTTGCTCCTGAAGATCCGGCCTCAGTTTCAAATTTCCTTGTGGGTCTAATAAGTCTTTGTATTTAATCATTTTGGTAAGCTCCAAATTGGGTGAATCATTGCCTCCATTTTGAAATCCATACTGGTACTTTTGTATAAAGTACAAAAGTATGTCATGTGTGATCACATGATCAAAATTCGGACGCTTGGCAACTGCCATGTATTTATGAGGATTGCATCTATCATCTAACTGGGTCTTCCCTCCAATGTAATTCTTTATGGAACACAAGACTTGTATTTCCTCTTCAGATCAAGGTGGAGGATTGTCTGAAGGCTCAGAAGGAGCAGAAAGAAAAAATAGCAACTTCCAAAAGAGACACAGAGCAAACAGTGCAGGAGATGCTTGTAAGTATTGATCCAGTGCTGAGGAGCTTCTGAGCTAATAGGAAGGAGAACCCCATCCGCCATCTTGGATAATAGGCAGCCTGTTTGCAAGTACAAGTTCTGACTTAAGGGAAATTCAAGCTAAAGACAGTATTAGGACACAGAACTTGTTCTTAACCTGGGGACTGAGCTGTCACCATTGGCTGAATGAGTCACAGTTGAGTTAACTGCAGCTATCCCATGAGCCCTCTTTTCTAGAAGGGGTTTGGTTGGCATAATAAATGCAAACTGTATTTCATCTTATTGAAAAAAATCGTGAACTCAAACATTTTTCTGTCTCCTTTTTTGGAACCCCTGATTGCCAAGAAAATTTTCATGAGAGATCATTTAAACCAAAACCTTTTTATTTTTAGAAACCTTCCCCTCTGCCCTTTTTTATATCAAAAGGGTTATTTTTCTCCTTAGGAAAGTCTCCCACCTCAGTTCTGGAAGGGAATCCGTTTAATTATTATAGCAGTTAAAATAAAAATAATTAAGTAAAATAATTAAAATAAAAGAATGCCTTTCTTGTTCCAGGATCTCATTGAAAAAGACAAAAAAAATATAGTGGCTGAATTCAGAGAACTACAACTCTGGTTGGAAGGACAGGAGAAGCTTCTGCTGGCTAGAATGGAAGAGACGGAGAAGGATATTATGGCAAGAAAGGAGAAGGGTTTGGCCAACCACATGGAGGAAGTGCGCTCTCTTGACCATCTCATCCAGGAGATAGAAGAGAAGCTTCAGCAGCCAGCCAGCCAACTCTTACAGGTCAGGACAGGAAGTGGAGATCATAGAATCCTTGGGCTGGAAGGGACCTTGGAGGTCTGCTAGTCCAATCCTCTGCCCTAGGCAGGAGTCCTTATTCCATCCTGAAAACATGGTTGTCCAAACTGTTATTGAAAGCCTCCAGTGATGTATAACCCAGAACTCAGGGAGGCTTGCTTCTTGTTATTCCCTCAGGTGCTATGGAGAGTAAATCCATGCCCTTTTCCCTATGAGAGCCCTTCAAGTATTGGAAGGTGGCTGTCGTGTCTCCCCTAAGCCTTCCCTTGGTTAGGCTAAGCATACCAAATTCATTGAACTGTTTGGCCTCCAGAGCCCTTATCATCTTTATTGCTCCACTCTGCACACTTTAGCTCCTCCACAGAATATTCTTTTTGACTCTATCCTTTTTTCCCATAAATTTAATCAAAAATATAATAGTGAAAAGTACAAATGAAAATAAAGAAATAAGTGAAATGGAGAAGGAAAAGAATGGGATAGAAGTGTAGGATAAAGGGAAAGAAAACATCTTTTTTTCTGCACAGTAAAATGCAAAATAAAATTACAGCCTCAACTTTTTATTTTTGCATGTTTAGTCATTATTAGCCATGTCTATAAAAACAAATTAGCCTAAGAAGCAAAATCAAGCATCGAGAGTTCATTTTTTCCTATCTCGAGCACAAAATTTAGAAGCAGCTTCCAAGTACAAATAATGGGTCATATCTAATTAAAACAGTCTTTTTTTCCCATTTTTTCTAGCGCCATCATCTTTTCCATTCTTCCTTCTCTTGTGGAGATTGAGATATCTTTCCTTGTCTGCATTCTAGCTGCACTTGACAAGGTTCAAAATCTTTTTTTCACTCCCCATTTAGTAATCTTTTGGACTCTTTCTATGGAAAGGAACAGTCACTAAACGAACTACAGTATTTCATCAAGGACCAAATGGCTTAAATTAGGGATTCATAATGTAATACAGAAAAAGCAGGCCATGTGAAAAGCAAGAATTCAAATTGCTGGTCACTGACTCTGTATATTCTTCACAATTTGAGGTTCCTGCCCCCTATTAGGGGATGGGGTGGTGGGCTTTCTTTGTAGGGTCTCCCCATCCCCTTAATCTCCAGCCAAGGAGAACCCCAACACTGATGATCTTCTACGAAATATTATAACCACTTGGATTTTCCAAAGTGCCTTTATTCGGGAAGCATAATGCAGGGTATTATATATATATATATTTGTTTTCTCAAGTTTTCACGGGTACTTACATGTATGGCATTCAGCTTTGTTCGGGTATTTTCCCACGTCATTGTAGTTGTGCTTTTAAAGTTGTAGCAACGTTTCGGCAGAATCTCATCTGCCATCATCAGGCTTCTGTATTGTGTCCGTCTGTGAGTCAGGCGCCCACATATATATATACATATATATATATACATACACACACACATACACACTGTAATTGTGTTGGATATTACTGGGTTATAATTTTTCTTAGGCAAAAAAGTAAAAACAAAACCTCTAAAAGGTTCAACAGCTGGAAAAAAAAAGGGAATGGGAGCTTTTTCATTAAAAAATGGAAGTACTTTATATGTCTGTT